TTTTTTTTTTAAAGATTTTATTTATTTATTTGACAGAGAGAGACACAGCGAGAGAGGGAACACAAGCAGGGGGAGTGGGAGAGGGAGAATCAGGCTCCCCGCAGAGCAGAGAGCCCAATGCGGGACTCGACCCCAGGACCCTGGGAGCATGACCTGAGCTGAAGGCAGTCGCTTAACCAACTGAGCCACCCAGGCGCCCCAGAACAATGATTATCTTAACATACCTTTATGCTTTCTTGCTTGTGGAACTTGAGTTCTTCACTCAATTTAGCAATTTCTTTTTCCTGTCTACACTTAATTTCCTCTATCTCTGCCAATTTAGATTTTTCATTTACTAGTTCTTTCTCTTTCAGTGACTGTAGAAAAATAATCAAAAAGTAATTTTAAAATAAATACTTAACTGAAAATCAGTGTAATAAAACTGTCTCTGCCCCTTTCTACCTAAGTTAACTTGAGCAAACTACTTACCCTCACTTGCCTCTGTGTCCTTATTTATATAATGTAAACAACAGTAAGATCTTTATAAGCATTAAATAGTTACTGTTAATACCATAAAATGAATAGTGTCTGGCCAAAGTAAGAACACTATAAAATTTAGCCAAAACTACCATTCTTCTTCTCATTAATGCTGTTATCATTACTATTATTACCAGCAATATCTTTATTTAAGGCACCTAGCTAGTAGTATTACATATTATCTAATTTAATATTTATACTAAATAGCTCTTTTTAATCCTCATTTGATAAGTAAAGGAACAAAGGTTTAGAGAAGTTAAGTAATCTATTAGAGGTACAGTCAAAACTATAACAAGGTCTGACTGATCTCTAGCCCTTGCAGTTAAAGGCCTATATGCTATAGTTGTCTCAGAATTTTCTAAACTTGAGGCACAAATCATGACTATCATGTCAGCTTCAAACCCCTGCCCCAACAAAAGCATCCCCCAATTTTTTAAATTAAAGAGACTTTCAGGAATTGCACAATTAAGATATACCAATGAACTTCTGAACTTGTATACTTCAGAATAATATCCTATCAGCTGATGGAAATATGTGATTTCAACTATGAAGCCAAAAATAAAATGCTTCCTAGAATCTGAATTTCTCTTTCATATAGCATTTTAACTGACTTTTAAAGGTATTGGTCATATAATAGAAGGCTTTCCACTCTATAATTTAGCATCATTTATGTAAAATATACTCCCACTTCCCTTAGAAAAAGCTGGCTCTAAATTTTAAGAATTATAAGCATAAGAATTCTAGAAAGTGTTATATGAGGTAGTTATGGAGCTATAAAACCTGTTTTAAATAACCAGGGGTCTATGGTGTGAAAAAGATTTGTTTGTAAAACTAAAAAGAGCAGTAAGAAAATGAGTAGAAATGACAAGGGAGCTATTAAGAAGTACTTCATAGCATCAAAATTCCAATTACCACAAGTATTGTATCAGAAACTAGAAGCCCATCTAAGGAGAGCTGTTGAAGATAAAGGTGATGCCTATATCGGGTAAGAGGTCTGACTACATGATTTCTAAAGCCATTGTAACTCTCAGATTCTAGATTTAGTCAGAAAATGAAATACCTTCTCTTTTTGAATATCCTGTAGTGTTTTACACTGCTCCTTCAACTGCTGTTCTTTCTTTGCGGACTCCTGCTCCAACGTAGCCTTGGCAGTTTTCAATTCTTGAATCAATTTATTTTGGTTTCCAATTTGATTTCTGTTTGAAATCAAGTCCTCCTGTGCTAGAGAAAGCTTCTCTTCTACAGACTTATAAAAACAATTTCCCCAAATTATTATGTCTTTTTTTGTTTTTAGCAAATTTCAACAGAAACAACAGTTAGCATAAGCACAGTAGAAAGCAATATACTATAAAAAGATAGCTTGTTATGCCCTTCAGTAAGATCAGGTAAAAGAGAAAGAACACTAGACAAATCTCTTAACTCTCCTGCCTATGGAAAACATTTTAGTCTAAAATATTTAATAAAACTGAAGCAATTCCAAAACCTTTAGAAATAATCTGTAAGTATTACTGGCTAAGTGGTATTAAGGAATATCAAATAAGAAGGGATCGTATCAAACACACTCAGGAGATATATACATATACATATATATATATATAAAAACGCACATATATGTTTATATATGTGTGTATTTATATATGTATTTGTATATGTGTGTATTTATATTTATGTTTACATATATATATAAAATTAGGAGATATGGGGAGACATGAAAACAAACAATTTAAAAAGAGATGTAGTTAAATGCTATATTACATATACACATATGTCTTACAGGACCTATGATGCCCCTTAACATGCTGAAATCTTCAATAAACAGAAAGGGTTTTTGTCTTGGGGAGAAAAAAAAAAAGAAAACAACTGTATTTCACAGCTGCTAACCTGATCAAAGTGAACCAAAAGAAGAAAGTCTACCGGACACCTGGGGCTCTATTTCTGACAAGGCCATTAGCCCAGCCTCTTAACTTCCCATCTATGTGGTAGAAGTAGTGTTGCTAGTTAACGCTCCCATAGGTACTGACTGTTCTAAAGCCCAAATATTTTGCAAAGCCAAAGCCGGTGAAAAGGGCAACCTTTTTGACCTATTAGGTTTCATTCTGGGGTAGATATGGCAACAGGTGGGTAATGGAAAATGGCAGGAATCTTGCCACTTTCAGTGGCAACTGCAAAGAATCAGCAGGGAGGAAAAGGAACTCTAAGATGCTCTCCCACCATCTGGAAGAAGTTCATCTTTCTTATTCTGGAGATACAGCTCCTTTGGAAAGGAGGCAGAAGATATAATCTAGGAAAGATCCCTGCTGGCTAGGCTCGGCTATAGGAAGCATTCAAAGAAAAAAAAATAGATGAAAATTTTAAAATGAAGACCTCATTTAAGGAGTTTCTCAAGCTTCCTGAAAGAGAAAGTTTATTCCTTACAAATAAACCCAGTTCAGAAGTCTTTCTGATATGAATGAAATTTCGATTTCCCATTTAGTGTTCCAGTGAACACTAAAAACTCTAAGGCTTCTTTTCCAAAAATCCTAAAGTCACTAGTCCTTCACTGATCAAGCAGCTAAACCACTGATTGAGTGTACTCTTAAGGTAGACAGGGAGGTAAAAAATAGTCCTTGACTTAAAGAAGTTGGCTCTGAAGCCTGAAAAACAGAACCAGCATGTAAAATGGAAGCTGTACATGCTAGGAGAGCATTTGCTATGTGTCAAATGAACAGAGAAACAATGAGTGTGAGAACTCCGCCTGGAATGTGTTTACAGAAGGCTCCGTGGTACATGTGGGAACTGGCATAAGCATCACAAAGGGATTTCAAGTAAAAATAATTAAAATTTGACAAAGCCTAGCCCATACAGTTCATAGCAATTATCAGCTAATAGGGGTCCTGATCTAACGCTAATGAATACCAAGGCTTGCTAGAGCCTGAAGTTAACAGTACCCCCAATCTCTGCCCAAAAGAATTCCAAACTGCTCATGGTATAAATAACATCCAATAAAATTTTAAATTCCCAAAAACCCAGTGACTAAATGTTTAAAATCAAGCTCAAAATCTGCACCATTCTTTTCAGAGGATGGAGAGACACGTTGCTCTACCCTGTCTCTGAATATTCATCTCTGTCATTCAGTGATATCCTGCCATGCATTTTAAATATTCCTTCTATCTTTCTTGTTGCAGGCCATGTTATTTTCATCTGCTCAGCATCTCTTCCCTTAGGGAACTCCCCTCTCCTAATCAATGGTTTTCTGGGCCTATCTTTAAGCCACTTACTCACACTGGAACAGGCAAATCCCTGAGTAGATCAACTACCAACCCTGACTCTGAATACCACCATCACATTATAGTAGTGTAGCTAAAAAGGAATTTCTGGAGTGTTCTGTGATAGCTACTGTTGTCTGCTCAACAATTTTTCCCTTTCTTCTTTCAAAACAAAACTTAAAATTTTAGTTATTACTTTTTCTTAATGTCTAATTAAATAACATAAGGAATGGTATTGGCTAAAGGTTTATATTTAATTCTAAACTTATTATCTTAGAATTTTTGCTTCACTCAGGGTACAAAATTTAACTTAAATTCCACTTCTACCTGTCTTCATCAGTAAAGAATAGCACACAGCATAGCCAATTTGAAATATCCAGTCAACAAACGTAAGTATTTCATAAATATTCCAGCAGATGGGGCTAAAGGCATAGATCAGGCCAGCCTGTCTTCCATTCTACTGGTGTCTTGAAGTACACTGTCAGCCCACAGATGGCAGCCTTGACTTAGGTAGGTGTCATGTTACAAAGTTCTCAACCTCTCCCTTCTCACCTCTATGCAACAAGATCATGTAACATCCCTGAAGCAAAAGAAAAATAATGGCTGATAACCATCTCTTATTCTGGTCCATAAATATCATTTGAAGTTCTCTAGGAATTTTTTTTTAACTTCCTAAGTTGTTCCAATACTTTTGGAAGCATTAATAATAGAATTCAGCAATATTCTATTTTATATTTAAAAATCCTAGTGAAATGATGATAAAAGAGTAAAGGGCTATGAATCAGAAGAACTGAGATCTAATCATGAGTCTGTTATTGTGCAACTCTGGGCCTGTCACAAACCACACCAGTCCTCAGTCTCATCTGCAAAAAGAGGCTTTGGAATAGAAGATCTATCCATGCCTCTTAATAGTTGAAAAACTCCTCAGCAGCCTTATCCCTCTGCCTTTCTCTTTTTGTCCGAACATTTGAATTTTTCTTTCATGTATAAAGTTATTAGTATCCAGCAGTTTTCAACCATAATAAAAATAGCTGTTAGCTTAGTGAAAGAATGTGATCTAAGAGATCTAAGTCCTGTCACCATGTTATGCTCTTGGGTAAATAACACACCTGTATGGGCGGGGGGGAAAAAGTGTGATTTCTATAGGAGTTATGCAATCAATCATTAAGCTTCATCTCCTTGATCAGCTAAACATCCTTCTAATTCATCCACATTCTCCATCCTTACTGTTACTGCCCACACCATCATCATGTGTACCTGGACTCTGCCAAGTGACCCCTCAGTCTCCACACTCAGCCCTGTTGCTCCACAATCCATTTCTTATCCTCAGCCAGTCACTGGCCTAAGCTATCGATCTAAGCATATCTTTTCTGTGGTCCCTACTGCCTTTAGGATAAAGTCCAAACTCTTCCACAGACCTTCCATGACTTTCAATAATGTTACAAAGAAAAAAATACCAATAATTTAAAGCTACTTAGAGAGTACAGCAAATAAGACACTTTCTAAACATCAGGTGGTATTTTTTTCTCATAACAACTCGGTGCTAGGAAAATTCTTTGACCAAAGTTTCCTATTTCTCTGTCAAATCATTAGTCACCATTGGTTCCTTCAGTTACCTTGTGGCCTGTCTGTATTCAGCCCTCCTGTTTCACCCAGTCTCTCTCATTCATCTCTTCTGCTCCAACCTCTTCAATTTAAAGCCCAGTCTAATCAATTCACACCTTGATAAATGGAATTTATGGAGAAAGGGAGATAGCCTCTTAACTAATCTCCCTACCTCTAGTTTACCCGGATCCAATCCAAGCTGTCTATAAACCTCTTCCAGGTTAAGTTGTCCAAAGCACTATTTTCTTCATTTTATTTCTCTGCTTAGACTCTTCATTCCACCCCACCCCCCATATACAGTCCAACCATCCTTGCTAGGCATCTAAAACACTTCACAATTTGATCCCAATCTTTTTTAACTTAATCTCCAAACACAAAACAGCATGCTAGCCAACTGGTAACTGCCTCCTGGCTCTGCTCATTCCCACTGCAGCACCTTTTCTCAAATGTGCCTGAGTTAAATGACCTTCCTCAGGACTCTCTATATATTCAAATTCTATATATCCTTGAGAACCTGTCAAGTCCTACCTCCTTCTAAAGCCTTCCCTATAACAGCCTATGATAAAATATAGACATACTATATTTATACATATTATATATAAATAACCTGTGATTTTCAACAAAATTTTTCAATAATGTACTTTAAACAACAACAAAAAGCATAATATTTCACCATGACAAAAAGAGAGAGAAAGAGAGGGAACTAGCTGAATCTTCTGGGAGAGAACACAAATGTTCCATTTACCTTAGAGAACTCATACCTTAATGCTACATAAAAATTATACTTTTTCCATATCCTTTATTTTAATAAACATGATACTTTAATCAAATAGTACTGTCAAGAAAAAGGTTTCCATATATGTTTAGATAATTAAGGTTAAGTTTACTTTGAGTTATAATCTCCTAATTCTATTCATTAAACATTCTGGTAGTCTTGGGAAGTTGACCAATATATAAAGTCAGTATTGCCTGACAAGCAACAGTAAAATTGCTTGCATTTTCACAAGTGGTTTACATTTTTAAAATCCTTAGATTTTTCTAACAGCAGTCTTTTTTATTTATTTCATATTTTTTATTTAATTTCAATTAATTAACATACAATATATTCCTGGTTTCAGAGGTACAGGTCTTATATAATACACAGTGCTCATTATATCACATGCCCTCCTTAATGTCCATCACCCAGTTACCCCATCCCTCTACCCTCCTCCCCTCCAGCAACCCTCAGTTTGTTTCCTATGATTAAGAGTCTCTTATGGTTTGTCTCCCCCACTGATTTCATCTTGTTTTATTTTTTCTTCTCTTTCCCTATGATCCTCTGTTTGTTTCTAAATTCCATATATCAGTGAGATCATATGGTAATTGTCTTTCTCTGACTTATTTTGCTTAACATAATACCCTCTAGATCCATCCATGTCATTGCAAATGGCAAGATTTCATTTTTTTGATGGCTGAATAGTATTCCATTGTGTGTGTGTGTGTGTGTGTGTGTGTGTGTGTATATACATATACCACATCTTCTTTATCCATTCATCTGTTGATGGACATCTGGGCTCTTTCCATAGTTTGGCTACTGGAACATTACAGCTATAAACATTGGGGTGCAGGTGCCCCTTTGGATCACTACATCTGTATCTTTTGGGTAAATACCCAGTAGTGCAATAGCTGAGTCATGGGGTAGCACTATTTTCAACTTTTTGAGGAACCTCCATACTGTTTTCCAGAGTGGCTGCACCCCTTGCATTCCCACCAGCAGTGTAAGAGGGTTCCCCCTTCTCCGCATCCCCGCCAACCATCAAACAGCAGTCCTTTTTAAAAATTACCTTTTTACATAAAGATAGCAAAGTCTTTAGATAAGCTTATAATATAGCAGTTAACATATTTCCAGATTATTTTACTGTTGCAGATGTTATTTTTAAATGCCTATATTTACTATATATTTTGTAATAATATAAAACAATTTAATTTTTAAAAAGCATGTTACTCCAAAGATAATAATTTAATAGAAAACAAGCATGATATTTGCCCATCTGGACTCAAATCAGTCATTTAATGAATGTCTATAAGCAGCGTACTGAGTTTTTGTGATATATTTTACTATACCTTAAGATCTTGCCTGGTGGCAAGAAGCTCAGATTCCTTCCCATAGAAATCAGACTGAAGCTGTTTTAGATTTTCCTGACTTTTTTCACAGGTATTCTGTAGCACTGACACTTTCTCTTTCTCTGCTGCAAGTTCCTGGGCTGCTTGTATTGACTGCTGCTGTAGTTTACTCTCCAGCTCTGTCTGGAACATCCAATAGTCATTTACAACAATGTGCATATAGAAAACCACTTACGAATATAAAATGAAATCCACACAACTACGAAGAGTCCTGAGGACAAATTCAATAGCATTTATGCCCTAAAATTCTTCTTTAATAAAGAGTAACTTACTTACCTTATAGTTACAAACTTAAAGATTTACAAGATACAAAATCCAGCAAATCCCAATTTAAAAACCAAAAAATAAAAAAGCATTAAATAAAGAAAAAAAGCATTTCACTGGGAAGTATCAATGTCTCAGGAGACTAACAACCACATTCTGATGGAAGATGCATGTGCTAGATGCTTTAGAAGATGATATAATTTAAGGTTGAACTAACAGAAATTTCTACATGAAAGAAATAAAAAAGTCATTACTGTGTTGAAGTATATCATTTCTACTCCTTGAACTTCCAGAATAACTTGGGAAATTCTACAGGTCATCTTTATTAACAACAACGCAGAAAAAGGAAATCTTGCAAAGGTCTGACTCCTCTAAACTCTAAACTTGTCTTTAGTCTTTAAGAAGATTCAGGAGATATGTACAAATTATGACATAATTAAAATATATGTGTGCACAGTATGAAAATAAGCACTTGGCTTTTAAAATAAATACACAACTTCAATGCAACTTCTGTTGAAATGAGCAATGACCCCTGCTCCAAAATCCAATATTCATGTCCTTATCCACATCTTACTTAACCTCCCAGCAGTACTTGAAATAGCTGATGATGTTCCCTCCTAGAAACATTTTTCAACCTGGTTTCCAGAGCACCTTGTATTTTAGGTTCTCCACCTATCTCATTGGTCATTCCTTCTTAATCTTTTACTAGCTCCTCTTCTTCTGTTTGATCTCTCAATACTATAGGATCCAGGGTTCTGTCCCTGTCCTTCTTTTATTCTATACACAGTCTCTTTCTAGAAGATCTCAACTACACTCACGGCTTTAAATATCATTTATTTACAACTAACTCCTGAATTATGTCTCTAGCCCCAACCTCTCTGCCTGAACTCTGGGCTCGTTATGACCAAGTACTTCCCTGACATCTCCACTTTCAATGACTGGTGGATATCTCTCTCAAGCAGAACTCTTGATTCCTGACACTGCTCATCAAAAAGCTGCTACTTTCCCCCAATAAACAGGATCGTCTATCCATTTGCACAAGCCACAAATGGAGAGTTATTCTTGATTCCTCTTTCCATCATCTCTCATCATCTAATCTATCAGCAAGTCCCGATGACTCAACTTCCAAAATATATTCCCAAATCATCCACTCCTAACACTTTAGTTCATGCTATCATCATGTACTGCTTGGACTACTGCCAACAGTTTTTCAGTGCCTTCTCTGCTTGCTCTTTTATCTCGCTGTAGTCAGACTGCACCATTCTCTGTTCAAAATTCCCCAACTGATTCTAATTATCCTTAGAACAAAGTATATCATTCTCTACTGCCTTATAATCTATAAATTTGCATGTATATGCTTTGGCCCCTGTCTACTTTTCTGAGTTCATTTCCTATTCTTCTTCTTCTCTCCCACTATATTTAATCTATGTTGGTCTTCTGTTTTTAGAAAATACCAAGCTTGCTCTAGTTTAAGGTCTTTGTACTAGTTGTCTCCCTGGACCTTTGTTCAGACAGCTCTTGTCTTTCATGTATCAGCTCAAATCTCTTCAGAGAGGCTTCTTTGATCACCCAGCCTTTAGTAGGACTCTGTCTCATCACTGTATTTCACATCACCTGTTTAGTTTCTTCCCCAAGAAAGTGTAAGCTCCATGAGAACAGGTTCCTTGTCTGTTCATGGCTGTATCTCCAATACCCAGAATTGTGCCATGGCATAAAATAGGTGTCTAGTAATATTTCTTAAATGAATGGATGACAGGGCGCCTGGGTGGCTCAGTTGGTTAAGCAACTGCCTTCGGCTCAGGTCATGATCCTGGAGTCCCGGGATCGAGTCCCGCATCGGGCTCCCTGCTCGGCGGGGAGTCTGCTTCTCCCTCTGACCCTCCCCCCTCTCATGCTCCCTCTCTCTCATTCTCTCTCTCAAATAAATAAATAAAATCTTTAAAAAAAAAAAATGAATGGATGACAAATAGATTGGAGGTGGAAAAGCCTGGGATGACTATTAATAAGCTACTGTAATAGCCTGGATAGGAAAACAAAATAACCTGGACTAAGACTATGGCCGTGGAAAATGAGAAAAGGGGATGATTCAAGAGAGCTAGGAGGCAGACTGACAGGAGGTGATGCTAATGCCTACGGAGGAAAGGGGGTTTGACCTCCCTATATGTTATCTCATAACATCCCATGTCACTTCCTTTTCATTTCCTCCAATTTAGATTCTTCATGATGAAGAATTCCTGGACATCTTTTTTCATCTTGAAGACAATACTGCTCTTACACATTTTCTTCCATAGAATACTACTTCTTTGCTTTAACACTTTTTTTTCTCACAAATCTAGTTTTCTTTCTCTTTAATCACCTTCGTGGCTAAGCCCTCTGCAAAGTCTCACTAATGACCAAAAAGGCCCTTTGGGCTCGTATTTGGGCCTTCATTATCTTTTCTCTGACAGACTGATTCATTCATTCATTTAAAACAATTGCTGATGACTTTTTTGTCAAAAGACACAGTTCTCTGACCTTGAGGGAACTCAAATGCATTAGTGGGGAATTAAAAAACAAAAAACAAAAAACAGATCAATGCAACAGTTTGATAATTGCTTTAATAGAAGTAAACCCAAACTTCCAAAGGAGAATACAGGAGGGTCAGTCATTTACAATTCACCCTTCACAAACTGACCAGTTTTGGCTCTAAAATGGGTCTGATCACATTCCTCCCTTCTTAAAAATCTTTAATCCTCCAATATTAAAATTTTAAAGTGGAAACAACTATACAATATATACTGTGATTTGACTTCATCCAATTCTGTTGCCTTATCCCTCCCCTCACTTCTCCATTTACCATGCACTCCAACAGGTAACGTTCTATAACATTTTCTAAGCTTGCAAAACATTGCTAATATTGTTTTAGCTCCCTGAAATGTCTAATTTACTTTTTTTTTAACCTTTCAAAATTATAATCATCTCCAAAAGCCCAGTTAAAATGCTAGCTCCCTAGAAAGCCAGTCAAATTTCCATTAAGTTCTAATTTTTCTCATATTTCTGTTTAAGTTCTGGTTTCATTCTCCTTTATACATTAGTTTTTTCTTTACATACCTACTTCCTCATTAAATTATAAGCTCCTTGAGAGTTGGGGGCCCTACCCTATTCATTCTATATTCCCACAATAGATTTCAAATAAAGTTGGTGTAGGGGCCATTGACTTACTTGCAGGATCCTACTTGCAGGATCCTTGATCAGTGGCTCTCAAACAATTATATATATCCAAAATGTGTGTGCGTGTGTGTGCGTTATCTAAGTGCATGCACATACATATCTATGCCCATTTAAACATTGTTTGTTTTTCCTATTTCATTGTGGGCCAGTGATAACTGTCACAGACCATCACTGCAGAGTCGACCATGCACACCAACACACTTAGATCATAGTTTGCTATACTTCCATATAATAGCCAACAACTATTTTGCTTCTATATTGCACTGGGCACAGTCCTGCATATTTTAAATACATTTTCTCAATCTTTACAACAACTCTACAACTCCATTTTATTTAGCTCAGAAAGATGACTCACTTCCCTATGACCATAAACCTAATGTGTGTCACATGAAATTTAAACTCAAATCTGCCTAGCTCCAAAACTTATCCTGCTTTCCATGCTACACTGATCCTCAACAAAACCAAACTATACTTGCCTTTCAATGATTCTCTAGTTACTGTAAATTCAAAATCTAATTTATAGGGCACCTGGGTGTCTCAGTCGGTTAAGCGTCTGCCTTTGGCTCAGGTCATTATCCCAGGGTCCTGGGATCAAGCCCTGCATCAGGCTCCCTACTTAGTGGGGAGTCTGCTTCTGCCTCTGCCCCTCCCCTCCACTCCTGTTCTCTCTCTGGCTCTCTCTCTCAAATAAATAAATAAAGTCTTTTAAAAAAAAAATCTAGGGTGCCTGGGTGACTCAGCTGGTTAAGCGACTGCCTTCGGCTCAGGTCATGATCATGGAGTCCCTGGATCGAGTCCCGCATCGGGCTCCCTGCTCAGCGGGGAGTCTGCTTCTCCCTCTGACCCTCCCCCCTCTCATGTGCTCTCTCTCTCATTCTCGTTCTCTCAAATAAATAAATAAATAAAATCTTTAAAAAAAAAATCTAATTTATAGAAACTGGCTATCCACCCAACACTCCCCAAAATGCCATCCTTCCCAAGGTTAAAAAGTGTGCTCCTTATTTCAGCATCCATACACTAACATAAATTAAGTATAGCCATGGCTGAATGTTTGTGTCCCCGCAAAAGTTCATGTTGAAGCCCAGATCCACACTGTGATGGTATTTGGAGGTGGGATCTTTAGCAGGCCATTAGGTCATGGGGGTACAGCCCTCATGAATTAGTAATTAGGGATTACTGTCCTTACAAGAAGAAACATGAGAGATAATCTCTCTCTCAGCCATATGAAGATACAGCAAGAAAGCATCTGTCTACAAGCCAGGAACTGGGTCTCTACCTGACACCGGATATGCCAGTGTCTTTATATTGGACTTCTCAGCCTACGGAACTGTGAGAAATAAACATTTATTGTTCAAGCCACCCAGTCTATGGTATTTTTGGTAAAGCAATCCAAACTAAGACAACTATCAATAAAAACATTTCCTTTAAATCTCATAATTCTTTTAAGATCTCATAATTCTTAAGGTGTCATCTAGTCAAGCCATGCAAAGTATGGTCAATATACATTAATCATAAATCTAAAAGAAATCATACTGTAACTAATAATTTAATTAAGAAGAAAATGTGCTAAAATAGTTGGGCTTTATTTTTTTTAATTCATGAAGTTATGATGCTATAAAAATGAAGATCTGGGGAATACTTGGATATGGGGATAATAAATTTTGGGGGAAAGAATTACCACAAGATATCAAAGCATACAACAAAATATGTATTGTGATAATTACATCCTGACTTATAATTATATATAACACCAAAAATGGACAGGCAAATTTGTTTACTCTTGTTTGTGTTATTAGAAAATTACTCTTTTGTAAAGTGACATAGCAATAGTTATACAGTGGTCAACATAAAATACCTATTTACAAGGTTAATTTTTTTCCTCTAGTAATGTGATAACCAACTCTTAATGTCTTGACATATTTTGTTTGTTCTACATAAGAAAGACTTCATTTCTCGGGACACCTGGGTGGCTCAGTCAGTTAAGCACCTGACTCTTGATTTTGGCTCAGGTCATCATCTCAGGGTCCTGAGATAGGGTTGTGAGATGGAGCCCACATCAGGCTCCATGGTCGGAGGGGAGTCTGCTTGAGATTCTTTCCCTCTGCCCCTCCCCCCACAACCCCCACCCTACTCTTGTGCACACACACTTTCTAGTAAATAAATAAATCTTTTTAAAAAAAGACAGATTTCACTTCTTTCTTCTTTGTTGACCAATTGACATGCACATACCAACAACAATAGTGAAAAGCTTTTTGTTCAAATATTAAGTACAATCCATTTGTCAACTTCTTGTACAGACAAGTATTAAAACACACTTAAGAATAAAAAATAGATGCTCAATAATAAATTAGAATAGTTTATAAATGAAAACCATTAAGATGTAACTTAAAATATCAAACAATTATAACTATATGAAACCAACACTCCTGAATTTTTTTTAATACATACCATTTTGTGGTTTTTGCTCTTATCTTCCCTTAATAAGAACTTATTTTTAAATTCCTTTAAAATTTTCTAATGCCCTAGAAATGTTGCATAAATTATTCCCATACTATTAAGTGTTAATTATATTATTGTATAAAAAGGTAATTTTATGTCTATCAGATGATTAATTTTAAATAAAGATTATCTAAAAACATGGTTAGTGAATGGAAATCCAGACTTATATATTACATAATTAAGTGCTTTTATACATTAAAAAATACTTAGAAAAATTACTTAGAAAAATTTTGAGCATATATAAATTTTTGTTTGTTGCAACTCATCTGTGTTATCATATTATTAACTGCAAAGATTTTCTTTCCATACAAAGTAAACAAATATATTACTACCTTCTGTGAAATAGCAATTTTAACTTCTCCTTGGAGTGCTTCAATTTGCTTTTTCTTCTGTTCAGTCAATTGCTTTAGCTCATTTATGTTCCCCTGAAGTTGCTGTTCTTCTTTTTCCTTTTGTTTTAAAGTATTCTGGGCCTGTACAACTTGTCCCTGAACTGAATTGAGTTCCACCTTCAACTGATGAGAAGTCTAAAAGAAAATAAAATCTGTTTAGCATTCATCATTCAATCAAGACACATTTACTGGGTGCCTTCTACACGCCAGGCACTACCCTAGGTAGAAAGTACTAAGCCTGGTGGCCACAGGTGATCAGTAGTAAACCAAAAAAACAAAACAAAACAATCCCTGCCCTCATGGAGCGTTCATAACTGATGCTATTCACTATTAGATAACATGCTGGATTAATCTTCAATATTTGTTTAATCTTACCTTCCTTTCTAACTTATAAGTATATTTTTGGATAGAGCTTATAAATGAGTTAGACTAGTATTACCTTGCATCATAGAAAATAGGAACATTAACATCAATCTTTAGGCTGCTGGAATGTCTACTGTCTTTCAAAAATATTCTCAAAATGCTAATTTAGCCTATTGGCCACAGTTAATCAGAAAGAATAGGTCCATATTAACTATGATAAAACTAAAATCATTTCTGGCAAATATGTTTAGGATCTGTCTGATAACACTAAACTATACCATGCAATAGTTTCCTTATTTAGAGACCTGGGGCATATTGTGCTACTACCTTGTTTTTACAATCTACTAAGATATATTTCTGTTCAAAATATAGAAGTCACACTGAGGTTCTTCTGTGGCCAAGGGGAACTACAATGACCTCCCGCCCTTCCAGCCAAAGTCATGTTTTCATGTTTTATGCATATTTCATTATGAACCTAACTTGAGCATCTGACCATATTCAAAGTTACTTTTTAAAAGTTTCACTGCTACATATGGTTGCTTCAACTTATCTCCAACACAAAGGGAAATGTTTTTGTGTAAAACAGGAGTCAGGCAGTGTAAGAATGATGATGATTACAATATGATAACCAATGATAAAGTGATAGCTAACATTTGAGCATTTATTTTGTTATTTTATTATAAGGGTTCCAAGCACTTTGAAATATATTAACCCATTTATCTCCTATAATAATCCTATAGCATAGATTCTATTATCAGCCCCATTTTACTGCTGAGGAAACAGGAGCACAGAGAGATTAAGTAATCTGCCTAAAACAAGGCAAAACAGCATACCTAGCAAATGGCAGTCAGGATATAATCTGGACAATCTGGATTCAGAGCTTGAGCACTAAGCCACCATAATTTTGCCACTTAATGACTGGCATCTAAAATGCAGGTGGTCTTCTTTCAAGCAACAACCAGATTACAATCACATTAAGGACTTCTCGGGACTAGATTTTGCTGCTTTATCAAATCAGATCTCTAGAAAAACTGCATGCCTGGACTCTTAACTGCTAGAGGTAGGTCTTCAGAGAATAACAACTATATATAATACCCATTTATTTACTCATTTGCTTGCTTATTTTGGATGGAGAGCAATAAAAGCATTAACCACAGAAAAATCTGCTGTTATACAACCGTTAACATACCACTAAATAAAAATGCCCATGAAATAAAGAGCCGTTAAAAGATTATTTCTATGGAAAGCCTATCAAGATATTTTTCTCAATCATAATAATATTCCTTAATCTAAATTATCTAGTTAAAACTCTATAGTAAGTTGACTCAATTAACTTTATTAATTATAATCCTTTATTTTGGGTCTTTCATTATAAAGTAGCTTAAATCTTTTTAGTAGTAGGTAGAACACAAATGACAATTTTAAACTTTTTTTTTGTGATCCATTATATTTCAGAGAAATAAACCTCCTTTGACTTAAGTATCAGTTTGAAATTATTTTGAAATACAGACCTTATTATTCTTTACATATTTTATGTTACAGAAAAAAAAATCTTACCTGCTTCTCTTTTTCAAGTGACTTTTTCAGTTCATTCTGTTCCTTAAGTGTGTTCTCCATCTGTACTTGAAGCTGATGCTTTAATTCTTTGCAAGTTTTTTCCTAAAAAATATCAAAACTACATTATACAGTAGATATTTGTAGTAAGTTTAAGAAGTTTGATTTATATGCTTAGTAAGATCCACACATGGAAATACACTAGAATCATTGATGGTTTAGCATGGGATAGAATCATCCATTTGAGTTATGAAACAGCCAAATATTATAGCAGTAAAGGTAGACGGGCAGAAAAAGGTTAAGAGCTTCTATCATCAACCAGCAGAGAACACTTTGGAAACCACATTTTTATGTCACACAATTAATTACGGTTAATTAACTTGTCATGCTATTTTAAAAGCAGAATAACAAAAGGGGCAGCTGGCTGGCTCAGTTGGTAGAGCATGTGACTCCTGATCTCAGTGTCCTGAGTTTGAGCCCCATGTTGGGCGTGAAGTTACTTAAAAAAAAAAAAAAAGCTCATAAAAGCAGAATAACAATCTTCAAGAAAATGGAAGAAAGGAAATTTTTGTAAAAGAAAGTATTAAAACAATAAAGAATCACATTATTAAACGTGTTTATATTACATATAAATATACATATATATAAATTCATATAAATAAAGAATAATCACAACTTAAGGGAAGATGTACATGTAAGAGATATTTTCTCCAAACAGAAAGGAACATAAAAGTAACATACTAATTTCATATATTTTTTGTGATACTAAACACTTTCACTGACCTTCATATTGAAAACAAAAGAATTTTACTTTTGCTGTTACTCTGTTATTCTGGGTTAAAATATTTTTTTTTGAAGATTTATTTATTTATATGAGAGAGAGAGAGAGTGAAAGAGTAAGCATGAGCAGGGGGAGGGGCAGAGGGAGAGAAACTCAAGCAAACTCCATACTGAGCCCAACACAGGGCTAGATTCCATGACCCTGAGGTCATGACCTGAGCCAAAATCAAGAGTCAAATGCTTAACCAACTTAGCCACCCAGGCATCCCATGGGTTAAAATATTTCTGAGAATACATTTCCCCATTAAGCATTTCCTGAAACTGTGACTTTTATTCCATATAGTTTAAATATGTTTTATGGTATCTCTAAGACATGGCATTATCTAGAGTTCTAGAACACTCAGAACATTTAGAACATTCACAGAGAATTAGAAAGTTTATAGTACCAGAATTAAAAGTCATCAAGATCTTTTGATTTTTTTTCTGTTTTTTCGGGAAAGAGAATAATGTTTGAACCAGCAGCTACATTCTCTATGAAAATGTCTCTGAGGACTAACAGGCACAGCACTCTCTCCCAAATCCAGCATCATACCAGCAATTGACAAAAACTGTATATTTAACTAAAAGTTTCCTGGGCCTCTGGAAATTCTACACACAAACACCAATATCTTTTTCTCAGGTTAAGCAATCCCAATTCTTTTTCTCATAAGAATTATTTAAAATCATTTAAATGTAGGATAAAAAGTCAACAGTGGGTTAAGCAGAAAAACCAGTACATTTTAAATAAAAATCACTTCTACCTAAGTAAACATAAACAACTAACCAAATCTAATATAGCAGCTTTTCCTTTCTGATTTTCCTTTTCAAATTCACTTTTGGAGTTCTTCAAAGAATCAGAAACTTTTGATAAATTCTCTTTTGTTGTAGAAAGCTCTGTCATTAGAGTTTCTTTCTCCATCTTCACTTTTTGTAGTTCTGCTGCTGCTGTTTGAATTTTGTTATTCAATTCCTTGTGCTGCATCTTTGCATCTTGACTTAAATTTTCAATTTCTTGTTTAAGGATTTTTTTTTCTTCCTCTTGCTTGGTAAGCATTTGCTTAATATTTTCAAGGGCTTCAGATTTTTTCTGTAGATCCAACTTTGTACTGGATACTCTAAATATTTAAGAAACAATTTTTTTAAATAATGCATAATTTACCATTCCTAATTTAGCATTAAAAATTAATAATTATTTTTTAATTAATAATTGAGTTTTAAAACTTTCTTGTGTAGCTCAGGAGTAAAAATAATAATTTAATGTCATAAAACCACACAACTGAAAACACCTTAAATCTGATCTGATCATTTAACAGATAAAGATGATTTTCTTTAAGTCAAATAAGTTAAGAGTAACTTAAGGCTTAATCCAGTCTTGTCTATTGCAATGGATGCCCCCCAAAAATGTACATATAGCAGACCCTCTCGTCTACAACAAGGTTTTCCGTGTACCTTAAAGAATTTATTCATTGTGTTAGCCCCCAAGCATATAGAGAACTTTGCCTCTTTCCTTGAAAACATAAAACACATTATGTGTTTTTTAGATATTAAACTTCAAAACACGATTAACCCAGAAAGAATAAAGTAAAAAAATAAAAGAAATATTTCATTTCGAACAGAGAAAAGACAAAAGATTTATTTTAATTCTAGAACCTAGCAGATTATACAAGAGACTTGTTATCATTTGTCCCTTAATTTAAGTTTTCTACACCTAAATGAATAAGCTACAAGAATAAGGAAATGTAGATAGAGCTTTAAGAAAGTTAAAAACTTCTACTGTTTTGATAAAATGAAATTATGCACCAAAAGAAAAAACGCGTTAAAGATCAACCATTTTTAAAGTGAAAATAAAACCAGATGCAAAGTAATATTTCTTGAATGCATACTATTTCTGATGTACTTTATAATCAGTATAAATTTAATAATGTTAAAGAGAGGTTGTTAAAAGATGCACTAGCCACAATTTGAAGTTGGGTATTCATACAATACCAGAATTACATTTACACTTTGAAATTTTTCAACTTTTATTCTCAGAAACTTACTTTTACTTTCTAAAAGTGGCTAGAAAAGATGAAGTTAAGTGCATTCATAGGATACTGTACCTCACTGATTTTCAAAGGTCTAAATAGAAAGGTCATTATCTTTTTAATATAGTTAAAATTCCTATCAAGCAACGCTAAAATTAGAACTTGATATATATTACTATGCTACTTAACTTTCCCATTAATAATTATTATAAAATCATAAAATTATGTGAATCAAAGAAGGAGAAACAGAAATAAAGTCTTCCATTGTCACTGTAAAACTTTAATTTTAAAAAGGGCTCCTGGGTGGCTCAGTCGTTAAGCGTCTGCCTTCGCTCGGGTCATGATCCCAAGGTCCTGGGATTGAGTCCCACATCAGGCTCCCTGCTTGGCGGGAAGCCTGCTTCTCCCTCTCCCACTCCCCCTGCTTGTGTTCCTGCTCTCGCTGTATCTCTCTCTGTCAAATAAATAAATAAAATCTTTAAAAAATAAATAAATAAAATAAAAAATAAAAAGGGTACAAGAGGAAGTAATAAATAAATCCACAATCATAGTTGGAAACTTAACACCCCTTTCTCAGAAACTGACAGAACAACCAGAGGTGGGGCGGGGCGGGGGGAGGCAAGGATATAGAAGGTTAAACATTATCTGGAATGAATAAATCAAGAGAACAAAAAATACAGAATAGGGAACCTACTCAATGGTACTGTAACAGAGCTGTCTGGTGACAGATGGTAGCTACCATTGTGGTGAGCACAGCAGAACATATAGAGATCTTGAATCACTATGTTGTACACCTGAAACTAATGTATCATTGTGTGTCAACCATATTCAAACAAAAAACCCTTTCTTTAAAACACTATCAACTTGACTAATTGATAGTTATAGAACACTTTACCAACAGAGAATATACCTATGTGCACATGGAAAATTAACCAAGATAAACCATACACTGGGCCATAAATAAGACAATTTGAAAAGTCTAAATTTTACAGAGTATGTTCTCTGTTCACAATGGAATTAAATTAGAAGTCAGTAACAGCTATCTAGAAAAGCTCCAAATATTTGGAAAGTAAAAAACATACTTCTGAATACTCCATGTATGAAAGAAAAAAATAACAAAGGATATTAGAAAGTACATTAAACTGTACAGTAATGAAAATACATTGTAGGATGAGAGTTGGAGGGAGAGTTGGATGCACTGATGTAGGTGAGCCTTGAGAAAGGGGAACCTTGCCCTGTTTTTTGGGCTGAGCCCTGGGATCAGGGGTAAGGCTTAGTCAAACCCTGGATGTGTTTACCCAGCCCTTTTTTCCTGGGTGGTACAGTAGAAATGCAAGACATCACATAAAAAAACTTTCCATAAAGTATATAGGCAAAAAAAGACTTTAGCATTAAAAGGATTCCCTACCTCAATATGAAGCCTCTGAATGAGTTCTGAACCATGAAATTAGCACATAGAATAGAAATGGGCCCATTTACATTGACCCCATTAGAAATGGAAAGAACCTTTGGGCCCACAGGGCCCTTGGGAAGAACAAGAACCAACTCAGAGGTGATCTTCATGGACTGACGATTGGGTTCCAGAAGTGATAAATTACTCAGTGGGTGATATAAGAGATCATATGTGCTCCCCAAATACCTATGCACTGGAAACTATGATGCTAACAGTGAGAAGGAATGCCATTTAAGGTATATAATGCACCTCTATATCCTCAAATTCAAAGTTTCAGGACTTACTTCACTAAATGTGAAAACAAGAAATTTTTCATCATCACTCCCAAACAAGGACAAAACCATGAAGGTGTTGAACAACTTAACTATCATCAATCTGATGGGTTTTATTTCATGTCCCTGAAGGGTACCTTTCCCAGGCTCTCAGCTTTCATCTTTACTACGGAGAGTCAAAAACCTTCATACACTTGACACAGATCAAGACTGTCAACTCAGTCAGAGAGGCCTATTTGGCATTTAAAGGTAGAGTCTACTGAACTGTGACGGGTCACATGCCCTCCTTTGAAAAAAATCCAGATAAATGGAGTGGAACTGATTTTTATCCATCAAAATTCTGGTGAGTTATATGTCCACTGAAGATTTTATGGTAAGACCCAATGCAAGCATCAACATCAAGAACAAGCTAAGCAAGAGACTAATTCTACCTAAGGAGTGAAGAAAGATGCCCCATCTCAGCACTTATGAATATATGGGATATGTCTGGATGCACATACCCACTCTGCCACCAAGGACTTTTGAAATTTCATGTATCAATTCATCTTTTAGATCCTAATATCTTTTTTTTTCCTCTCCCTTTTTCCAAAATCAGATGCTAATATCTTCTAAACTAATCCATCCTTATACTCAGAGCTGTCATAAATAAGCCCAATTAAGCACTTAGTACAAATGGGAAAAGACAATCTTCCTCAAGGTAATTTATTCCATCTGTGGAAAAACTGTCATACTAAACTGATTTTACTAGACTACGACATGTAACTACCATCTGCAGAAACCTGACAAAATACAAAGAGGGTGAGTAACTGTGAAAATGAAACAGATACTATAAAACGTGGACAGCCACAGGGAAGCTTCCACATTAAAGAGCTATTAGGGCGCCTGGGTGGCTCAGTCGGTTAACCGACTGCCTTCGGCTCAGGTCATGATCCTGGAGTCCCGGGATCGAGTCCCGCATCGGGCTCCCTGCTCGGCAGGGAGTCTGCTTCTCCCTC